GAAATTGAAAAAATAACTAGGAAATGTATAAATCCAAAAGGCTCGTTTTCTTATTTTATCTGAAAATTTTAGAAAAAGAATGAAGAAATTAATGGTTATTATTTATATTTTGAAGTGTGGCAGTGTGGTAAAGGATTAAACACTGGATTTAGGCTCTAGAGTCTTTGGGGTGGGGTGGGGTGTCACTAGTAGACCTATTTTAAGGAGTTCTGGTGGCATAATCTGTCTCCTCCCTTTTACAGCTGTAACAAATTCAGTGCTCGCCCCACCCATGGCAGGCACTGGCCCAAAAGGCTGCCATAGAGACACTGTAATGCACTGGGCCCTGTTCCTCTCTCTCTAGCCCCAGGAATAAATTTTGTTACAGATATTTAAAAAAAAAAGGGCAGTCCATGTATCATGCATCTTTGGGGCCTTCAGCCATAGCAGTGTCCCTTCCAAGTCAAGGAAGAGTATGTTCTTGTTTCTTGGCAAAACTGTCATCATTTAATTGGTATCAGATTCTGACTTACACAAGCAACATTTTTACCTTTCAACAGTCCAAAGTGTGTGCTGGCTATTGGACAAAACTTTTCTAATTGTTAAAATCTCTATTGAAAAAAACGAAAATATACAGCCTCAGAAACCCAATAGAGGATCACTATGAGTCTGAATCGACTAAACAAGTTTGGGTGTTTTTGTTGTGGCTGGGTGTAGTTTGCTTGGTTTTTAGTATTTCTTTTAAAATACTGTAGAATTTATTTCATACAGACTGCAGTAGTGCAGTAATGCTTGCATAGCAAAACTTCTCAGCTAAATGCACTGGCCCCATGGCATACCTCAAAAACTAAAATATCAGTATCATATCTGATAGGTAGGTACACAGGTAGCACTGAAAATGCTTGAAAAGAGAAGGTGGCCTATTACCAAAAAACTGAAGTCACACTGAGCCATCAAGTGGAAAGTTTTTCAAAATAGATTGAGAAGGAACATCTAGCAAAATATGAGGGAAACCAAGAGCATGTGAATGGAGGACAGGCCTCTTCTTTTAATTTCACAACCAATACTGAATGCCAATACATTTATGGTTTATCAGGTCCTGGTGAAGATGCCAAGCAGATAATAGGAGGTGCTGAAGCTAGATTTCAGGATGAGGAGACATAGTTAAATGGTAGTAAGGAGTCCAGGGTAGTCCCTAGTGAGGAGGACTGAAGTTAATCCCCAAAAGAAAACCCTCTTCATTCTCAGAGTTTGAAGTCAAGAAAGGGAAGAGGCACATCTTACAGGAAATGGGATTTATGACTTGTTTTATTATGTTAGTCCTTTTTTCTGAGTCGCCTTTACTTCTCTTCCCACTTTCCTAGAGATTCTCAGCCTCCGTGACTTGCTGTGCCCTGCTTCTGGTGGCTGCTGCTCAGTACTGTGAAACATGGTACTACGGAAGCAGCTATAGCAGGCTAAGCAGACACCCTAGAAACAGGGCCCATCCTCCCAGGACCTGGGGATATTCTCTTCAGGAAGGCTTAGCCAGAACCTAGGAGTCAGAGCTAGAAAGTACCAGAAAGTAATGGATTTGATCACATGAAAGGACAGTGAGTAGGGCTTTAGAAAGAAAGTTAAAAGAGACAACGGAAGGGCAAAAATTGAATTTTGGCCACAGAGTGTCAGGAGATAGAGAAAAGGAGAAGAAAGTCAGGAAAAGCATTAGGGAAAGTCTTAAGGGAAGACACTTGACATACAGAGTGATGAAGAAATAGAGATCATGAATGAAGATGGAGAACAATGGAGATAGCCAGAAGCAGAGAGAAAAGGAGGAGCAAATGAGGAGAGGAGAGGAGAGGAGAGGAGAGGAGAGGAAAAAAGGTAATGGTAGACATAGGTCAATGGTGATTAATATTATAAAACTTATTTAATAAATGGGAATGATTGTATGAAACACAATGTGAATGAAGGATGATGTGAAATACAATGTATATGAACTTTGTAAGCAAACCAATATAAAATTAAATCTATACCTAAAACAACAATAACAACAAAAGTTATTATGATTGAGAGACAAGGACAGAGACAAGGATTAAGAGGCAGGGAAATAGACAAAGACACAAGGAGACAAGGATATTCCAACACAGAAAGCAAATAAGATAGAGACAAAATAGCAGGGAAGATTGAAGAAGGAGATGGTGAAAGAAATGGTGAGAAGCAGAGATTCTGTCAAGATGTAAGGTTTAGCGAGAGACAGACTCAAGGAGTCCCCCAGAAGCTGACATAGCAAGATTTGAGCTGGAATCTGATTAGCAGGGGGAAAGGACCAACATGAGAAGCCATATTTCGACATCTAATACACCAATATCATTAGATAAGTCACCAACTTATAGTCACAGAACTCTCAGTTTATAACGTCTACAACAAAGCATTTTCTAGTTGGCAGTGAGGACATTTGAAGACAGGAACTGTTGGCTAGTTATGTGTGAAACAGCTGCTGATTTCCAATTCCTGGGCATTTTCTCTTTCAAAACAAGATGTTGTCTTTCCTCCAATGAATGAATGAATGTTTCCATGACTGAAGTGGTGACAGGAAGTGGCAAGGGTTGAACATCAAGCCCCACCCCTAACCAGGCTCTCTTTTGCTAATGTGAGCCAGGTCTGCAGCTGCTGGAAGATCTTCTGTAGAGAAATAAGAATTTTTGAAAGTCAGGCACTAGCACCAGGAGAGGTGCAAGAGATGTGGAATTTAACATGCAAACAAAACACAACTTATCCAGAGTTTTTCTTCTCCTACCTGGCGTGCCAGGCGGAGGCTGGGGGAGTCTGAGGGTTTCTCAGGAGCCATGTCTAAGCAGTGGGAGGCATTCGGGATGAGAAGAGATGACTCAAAGGGTCCCAAGGGCCGTGTTATACTTAGCACATGCCAGGGGTCTGCATCCCCTAATAAGAAAAGAGAGGATGGTGTATTGTGCTGGGCATGAATCAGTGGCTTAAGAGGCAGGATCTGATAGCATGCTTACCATTAATGAATAACACTTGAGTGGCCCTCAGGGTCTGGCCACCATAGTAGGAGTTTGTCTGGGCCACTGCCTGGGCTACTGATGAGACTGAGAGGCCAAATATCTGCTCACAAAGACTGAGTTGGGAGGGCAGTGCTGGGCGTTGGGAGAAAGGGCATCCAGGGCCTTCACAGGTGACATCTGTGGAGGGAGATGTCTTTAAGTGTGTGAGAACATGACAGTGCTCCATTTTCCTCACTCTCATCTAATAATTGTTCCCAGAACTCTCCTGTGATGACCAATGTCACTACCCCTCCTTGTGTTCACAGTATACACACACACACACACACACACACACACACACACACAGTGACAACTTAAGGTACTCAGAGCTGTGATGGAGTTAGGTCAGGATTCTAGATTAGATTCTAGTTAGGTCAGGAGCATAAAGGATTCAGGAAGGTCATCTCGCAATAGACTTTAAGGAATTGGTAGCAGTGAGCCAAGCAAAGAGAGAGAGGAGAAAAAGTATAAGACAAGAGGAACTGTTATGTGCAAAAGTCCAGCAATAGATCTGGAGCACATAAAGAGCAGCTTGGGTCAAATCACTCCTACTTGAATTCTTCAGCTCTTGTTTGTACTCAGGGTAAATCCAACTTTATTAGCTTCAAAGTTATTTCTCCCTTCACCTTTTATTGAGTGGTTACTTCAGACGTTGAGCAAGATTAGGTACACAGTGACAACCAACGGCAAGACAGACAGTTCCAGAAAGAGAGATGGGTGACCAAGAATATATGATGACAGATTGTGGAAAGAACTGAGGGGAAAAATGAGGAGACTGTGTGTGGGTGTTTGTATGTTTGTGTGGAGGAGGTGCATCCTGTGTTTAGACTTGAAGATAAGTAAACAATGTCAAGGGGCTGGGGGGAATAAGTATTATTAACAAAAGAAACAAAACATGCATAATACCGGAGATGTTAGGAAAAAGAGCTTACTAAAGGATTAAAACATATAAAGCCTTATATAATACTAATGAGAATAAATACGTACCTATAATGAGGAAGTATTTAATCTATGCCAGTACTATTTTAAGCTATCTGTAATGCTATTTATATATTACCTACTTTAATCCTCAAACAACTTTCTGTGATAAGCACTACTATTTAGTTCCGTTTTATAGATGTGAAAATAGAGGCATGGAGAAGTAATTTGCTCAAGTTTGTTACCACTTCAGACCTAGGAAATGGTAAGAGCTGGAATTTGAACTTTTGCTTTAAACTAGCATCCTCACTCCCTCTAGAGGATTTTTGAATGTTAACTGTCTTCCTTATATAGTGGTGAGTATACTCCCTTGTCATGTGGGAGGCCAGGTTCGATTCCTCAATGGGGAAGCACACTTACTTTTAAAGCTCTGGTGATCTAGTGGTAAGAAGCTGTGCTTAATCCCAAAGGCACACAGATCGAACTCACCAGCTGGTCTGTGGGAAGAAGGATGGACAGTCTCCTTCTGTGTGATTTATTGTCTCTGAAAACCTACTGGAGGGTCAGCTATGGGTCGGCTCTGATGTGAGGGTACACAACAACCACACCACTGCGGGCTTAGAGTGGTCAGCCTTAGCAAAGAAAAATATAGACTATATAGTTCAATTTGAATTTCACATAAACAAAAAAAACCATGTATTTTAGTATAAATATATCCTGAAATAAATATTTAGAACTCATACTAAAAAGCTACTTGCTGTTTATCTAAAATTTAAATTTAAACAGACATCTTGGGTTTTATCTGGCAACCCTCACCTGAGGTCACATGGAAAAGTTTTCATGCTGTGAAGGACCAAGGTTGTATTTAGAAAGATCTTTCTGGACCCTGTGCAGAAAGTGGATTGTAGAAGACAAATAAAGACCTGGAAGCCAGGGAAGAGTCTGAGGCACAAATCCAGAAAGATGATGATGGAAGCCTCTACCGGAACTGTGGGAATAGAAGGGGGAAGGAGAGGACTGGAGGGTTATTTGGCATGCATGCAGGGTGGGCAGGATTCAATAGTTGACAGGCTATGAAACAACGAGAAGAGGCATCTAAAACAACTCTGAGGTGCCTAGACTGGTGACTGGAGTCAGGATGGGGCCATCCCTGGGATGGAGACATAGAAGAAGACAAGTAGAAAGCAAATCATATACAAAGAAGCCTGAGCGAGTATGTGAGGAAGTCAACCACATATACACATATGAATGATTGTCTACCTTTTAGTCCCACAACAGCTGACTATCCAAAAACTCAGGAGTCAAGCTCTTTTCCTATGTAAATAGTAACGAGTTCAGACCATCTGTGAGGTGGCCCATTAGGGCACAGCATGGGATAAATGTTTTGGGCATGGGGCTTGGACCAGTCACTTACAAAAGCCAAATTCAGTACAGGTCTGGTACAACCACTGCCGGTCACCCACACCGGAACCTTGGGGTTCTGTGTTCCTCAGGTGTGCCACTGTCTCTGCTCGAGAAGCACTTAAGCACCTCTGTCCCAGACTGCGCATGACCATCTGAGGACAATATAGATACATACATACATACATACATATCTTGCTTCCTTACGCCCACTCCCATGCTAGGTCAGGATTTGGAGGATAATAGCCACATAGGTCAGAGATCACAAATCTAAAGGATGAATTCCTGACTTCTGGGAGTCAGCAGTCACAAAGATAGGCTCAGGGTTCTTGTGGGCCAGAACACTACACAAGCAGGCCTTTATGATATGCAGGTCTTTGAGTAAGTGATAGTATCTTGAACTTTTCCCCCCATCTGTGCCGGAACAAAAACTCACTGCTGTCCCATAAATTCCGGCTCAGTGTAACCTTGGAGGATGGAGCAGGACTGCTTACCAAGAATGCACAAAGATGTAAATCTTTATGGAACCAAAGTGTCATGCTCTTTTCCTGCAGAACTGCTGGGGGGTTCCAACCACAACTGTTCCGTTAGCAGCTAAGTGCTTTAACCACTGAACCGTCTGGGCTCTTCCTCATCTTTAAGCTGAAATAATAGTGCCTATCTCCAAGAACTTCTGTGAGAATTAACTGAAATAATACATGTGAAGAACTCAGCAGGGCATCCAGCTCTGACAATGAAAGTGGGCTCTAAGATTAGAGTCCTTGGTCCCTACTGACTCCAGGGCTACATTTTACATTGATTCTCCAAATAATAGAGAACTTGATATGCGAAGTTCTTGAGGATTTAATTTTACTTGGACCCACAATCAATGCCCATGGAAGCAGTAATCAAGAATTGGACAAATCTGATGCAAAAGAACTACTTTTAAAAAATTGTTTTATAAAGATATTACCTTGAGGTTTAAGGTATGCCTGACCCAAGCTATGGTATTGTCAGTCACGTACATATGAAAACTGGACAAAGAACAGAAAGACTGAAAAATTTGATGCTTTTGAATTATGATGTTAGCAAATATTGAATGTACACCATGGGTGGCCAGAAAAATGAACCCATCTGCCTAGGAAGAAGTACAGTGCTCCTTGGGAGCGAAGATGATTGAGAATAGTCTCAAATATTTTGACATGTTATCAGGAAGGACTAGCCTCTAGAGAACCACATCATACTTGGTAAAACAGTGAAAAAGGAAGATCCTTGAAGAGATGGACTGACACATGGCTAAAAAAAATGGACTCAAATAGTAATGATAGTAAAGATAGTGCAGGATTTGGCAATGCTTTTTTTTTTTTTTTTATCACAATGAGCCAGAATCCATTTTGGCTATAAAATGAGATCATACAGCAATGCTTTGTAAAGATAGCCCAGGATTCTATAATGTTTTGTTCTGTTGTACATACGGTCGCTAAAGCCCCATCCATCTCATTTCACCTTCCTAAAGGCATTGGGGTCATTCCTATTTTATAGGTGAGGAAATTAAGGCTTATTGAGGGTCCTCACTTGCCCAAGATCACATAACCAAGCGGAAGCACTCTGCTGCCCCGTTTCTGCAGCTTCCCGGGGTCTTCACCTGCGCTGCCCGCCGCAGCCCGCGGTAGGGGGCGGTGCGGCTGTGGCTGCGGTTGCCGGAGCCCGAGAGAAATCCACAGAGTTGTCGCACGCTCAGCGGCGCCCCCGCCTGCCCATTGTACTGCACCGCGCCCCCCACCAGCGCCTGGAGCTCCTCCAGCAGCTCCGCCTGGTCCTCCAGGCGGCTCAGCGTTCCGCACGCTCCCAGCTCCTCCCGCAGCGCCTCCTGGGACGCCTCGTCCGCCCGCAGTCGCCGCTCCACCTCCTCGAAAGCCGCAGATGCTGCAGTCCTGCACTATAGAGAGAGAGCAAAAGGTAGGGTCTGCAAAGATCAGGACTCTGGCCCAGGCCGACCGAACCTACAGGTCCACCTTCGTTTCACCGCTTAGGACTTAGTTCTCTGGAAGCCTTGGCTCCATGCACAATTGCTCAATTCCCGCCCGAAGCACCGTCTTCTTGTTGACCCTGCCCCCTATTGAGACCTCCCCGCCTCATAGGATTGGCTCTCGCCCGCTCAGCTTCAGCTGAGGCTCCTCCTACCATAATGCTCCGCCCCTTTCCCCTTGGTCCCGCCTCCTTCTTAGACCCACCACATCCCCAAACGCTTCGTCCCAGCACTTTTCTTTCCCAGGCTTCGCCTTTCCTCTCTGGCCAGGGTTCTTTCCCCTTTGCAAAGTCTCTTCTCACCTTTGTCCACCTCAGACCAGGCCCAATATCCTACCTCCGGGGACCCACCAATTGCCGTGTTCATTAAGCTTCGGGACACTACCTGTGGACAGACCATAGGAAAGGTTGTCAGGAGACCCCAGCCACCATCGTCCTCCCACTCTTTCTTTCCGCAGCCGCTGTTCACCCGCCTTACGTTGTTATATTCTGAGAAATCCAGCACCGCACGTAGCGGGGCGGAGGAGGCGACGGAGGCGAAAATTACATGGGGAAACTGAGGGAGGAGACAACCATCAGGTGAGGAGTTAGGTTATTGGAACACCCCCTCCTATACGCCGACCCGCACTATACCGTCCCGCTTCTTGGGCTCCCTCTTCATTTGGGTCACTCAAACTTGTCTTAACCCCTACCTTCTCATGCATTAGGTTCTAGTAAAGATAGCATAAGGAAAACTTTTCAGGAGTGGAAGGAGGGTAACCTATTTCTATTCTTTTAAATCAAGACAACGGAGTCTGAATTTTCTCCCCTTAGCTCACTCAGAGAAGCCCCAGGGACCTTCAGCCTGGCCCAGGCGGCCAGAGAGCCGGCATAGGAGCCTCCGAAGCAGATCCAAGGGCTTGAGGAGGAGACGTTGAAGAGGCGGGAGAGTGCAAGGTGGGCAGAGACCATGTCAGACAACCTGGGATCAGAGGAGAGGTTGGATTTGTCCTCATTCCTCATCTCCTTTCCCTTCCAGCTTCCCACACTGTACAACTGGGGTAACCAGGTACCCAGAGACTTGAATAGGAAGAGTCTGGACAAAAGCTAGGATTTCTTAGATTCTTATGGTGTGTTTCAGAGGACTCCCTACACTTACATCCTCTGACCTTCTCTTCCAGGTTATGTAGGATTGGTAGAATCTACAAGGCAGTTTCAACGGAAACCTGGCAAATGTGGAGGAGGTGGGGGCTCTCAAAGAGGATAACAAAAAGGAAGAGAAGGAAAAGGATCCTAGTCTGGATAGATCTGAAACTACTGGAGGTAAGGGAGAGACACAAATTAGGAAAATAAAGATCAATGTCCAGATATGCCCAAGATCCTCCTTAACATCCTAAGAGTTTTCTTTTCTATCCAGCTTTTCTGAAATTCAGTTACTACCTCCTGCTACAGTTTGCAGCCAGTTCGCTTATGGTAAAGATTGTGAGAAAGCACAGAAAGAGAGAAAATGAGATACAGACAAGAGAGCTAGAGTTGAGAATGAAACAGATAGAAACAGACAGCGGGGAAGAGAGACACCAATCAAGGGAGACATAAGTGGCATGAACAACAATGACACAGACTGACTGGAGAAAGAAATGGTGGAAGGGGTGTGTTAATATTAGGGGTATATATTGGAGAGGGTGAAAGAAGGAGCCACAAGACTGGGAAATGTTTACTCCACAAACAAGAACTCAAAGGTTCATGGCAGGAATGTGCTCCTAAATATGAATAACATCACTGACCTCGCTGCACTTGGAGGGTATGACTACCAGAGAGTTAACTGAGCACATCAGACCCATGGCTAATGTAAGGACTTGGATTTTACTCTTTGTGAGAGACATGAGAGGGATTTGTGCTAGGAAGCCTCATTTCCAGCCTAACAAGATCTCCCTGTTTTTACTGTGGAGAACAGATTGAAGTAGGCAAGGGCAAAACCAAGGAGACCAGTGAGAAGGCTATAACTCAGGTGAAACATGCCAGTAGTCTGGACACACTCCAGTGATGTAGTAGACTACTTAAGACAGCAAGGCAGAAAACATCACAATATTATTTAGGAGAAAAATACAGACAGGAAGAGAAAGAAAGATTAAGACACCATAAAAAGCAGAGAGAAGAAATAAGAGGGAACCAGAGAGTTAGAGACTGGTTTCGGGAAAAGGAGAGACACAAATGCTGAGATGCCAATGTCAACCCTAATTCTCTGACTTCAAAGACTTTGTCGCTACTTACGCATGACGGCTGGACAGGAAGCGGAGCTGGGCCATGTCCAGGCCTCCAGCAGGTACACTCAGTCCATAAAATCTGTGTTCCAGACCTATCACCAGTGCCCCGAAGGCGGAGGCCAGGGCTGCAGGGTGACCTATAAAGAGTATGGGAGGTGGGGGAGATTGAACTGAGTGGAAGCTCTTGCACCTGAGCGTCTCACAATGTTGCAATATACATCTGCAATTCTGGACCCTACTAACTTCCCAGTCATGTCTTTCCCCTCTTACCTCTCATCACTGATCCGGACCCAAGGCTGCCCTCACCTCCCAGGTGCAAAAATACAGGTCCATCCTGGCCGGTCCAATGCTGATCATTCACCCAGTACCTCTAGCAGGGGGATTTGGGAGAAAAAAAAATGGTGCTGTGAGAGTGCTGACCTCATGCACTCTAGTTTTAATGTCTTTGTATACTTAGTAATGTAGTGGAGAAGGAGAGGGCACTACTGAGTGATTGGGGAGACTGTGTGCAGAAAGGGCTATTTGAGATGAAATCTGAATAGTGAATCAACATCAACCATGGGTAGATAATAGATAGTGCATCTTAGATGAAGGAGACAGCAAGAGCAGAGTTCTGTGGTGGAAACATTTACATGGCCCAGGAAAAAGGAAGGCTTGTACACTCAGGCAGAGCAGGCTGTGGAATGGCAGGCATGAGTTCAGGGTGGCTCAAATATAAGGAAAAATAAAGACAAGGAAGCTAAGGGACACAGAGAGTGGAGACTGAAAGCTAGAGTGAGAAGGGGACTGATGTGAGAGGGCAGAGGAGCCAGTGGATACCTCCTCTGCCTCCCCCGCCCCCTGGCCTTCTGACTTCACCTGTAGGAAGACCCTTCTGTCAGACGTATTGAAGGGGTCCAGGGGCTGCTCTAGCCACCCCTCTTTTGGGAGGACCAGAGCACTGGGGCCTAGGCTCAGATCCAGGCTTGGGTCAGATCCCTCCTGAAGCTGCTGAGTGTGCTCACGTAGGCGCCTAAGAAGAGAGGCTATGGGACATGGAGAGGCAGTCAGGCTAGGCCCTTATAGGACCCTGCCTGCTGCTCATTCTTGTCTTACCTGAACCTGAAAGCCCCAAGAAGGAACCCAGGAGCAGAGAGCCCAGCCACAGGGCAGGCCCAGCAGTCATGCTGTCCAGTCTTCAATGCAAGGGCTTTAGGCGCTCTGCTCCTCCCCACTCACGGAGGACCTTTATCATGTCCTTAGAGGCTGGGCTCTAAACTCATCATCTTTCATGAGGAGTTCAAGTTTCTTTCCTGACACGTCCAGAGCAGGTCAAGCGTCTGTAGGAACTGCTAAAGCGGGACAGGGACGCCAGACTGAGTAAAGCCTGCTGATGTAGCGCTGGAAGATCCAGTTTCTCTTCTCTGTCCCTCATTCTCTCCTCCTTTTGGATTCAGCCTCTATTCCCTCTGTCCCTTAGTATCCCCTTGCTGTCTTCTTGACCTCTTTATTTAGATAATTCCTATACCTGAGTCTCCCCTTTGCTGTTCCTTCAGCCTTTACCTCTCCTTGAGTACCTTCTCTTGAACCCTCAGTTACCCATTTATTCTCAGTAAGTCTCAGATATATATCTTCAAATATATATAGAAGTGAGATCATAAACACAGTATTTTATTAATCTACTCAAGTTGTTTCTACTTTTTGACTGTTAGGAATAATGATATTATGATCATTTGCATTACATATCTTTTTGTAGACAAGTGTTTTCATTTCACTTGAATCAATGCCTAGATACTGGGTCATAGGTATCTTAGTGCTACCATAATAAAAATAGCATTAGTGGGTGGCCTTAATAAATAACAATTTTTTTGAGGAGACTAACTAAATGAGGAGACTAGCTAACTGAATTCAGGGCTCTGGCCATACAGAAGACTTTCTTTTTTCATTTACATTGGAGAAATGTCATTGTTTCTTTTCAGCTCTGTTCCTTATAGGTCATCATATATCATGATATCTATCTCCCAACATCTGTGCTTTTTCTCCATATGCCTAAATCTGCTTTTCTTATTTCTCAAAAGTGATTCCGTCACAATAGCAAGCAGATGGAAACAGCCTTGGAGGGAAAAGTGCCTGTTAACAGACAGATGGATCATAAATTAATAAATACATCATAGAATACGAAGCAGCCATGAGGAATAATTATGACCCCAGTGACTCAACTTTCAACCAAGCAATAGGTGGGCTTATAAGGTGATCAAGAACACCAGGGAAAATGTCCTTTGAAATGTCACTTTGAAAGGGCACTGTTCAACTAAAGCTAAAAATACAGGAAAGAGAGGACAGGAAGTATGAAAGTATGAAACACAGGAAGGTATGGGAAGGGTGCTTTTGCAATGTGGGAATTCTATTCAATGCCATGAAACATAATGTGCTTGAATTGTTGAACAGAAAAATCAATTTGCTCCTTAAATTTTCACTCAGATCACAATAAAAAGTGAGTGTTTTTGTTTTTGAAAAGTAATTATGGGTTCTTGAGACATCTTATTACATGGATGAATCTGGAGGTCATTACACTGAGTGAAATAAGTCAACCACAAAAGAGCAAATACTGCATTACTTCATGTTTATAAAAATTTGAGTAGGTACTCAAATAGGAACTAATAATTCTTTGGTGGCTACCAAGAATGTGGAGAGAAGAGAGTTGAATTCACACTCTAGAAAGTAAGTACCTGTTATTTTTGGTAATGTTAAAGTTAACACTAAATGTGGATGAAGTGTGCTCAGATTGACCAACATAAATGATGTCACTAAGGAGTACACAAGAGAAATGAATTTGTGGTATGTATTATTTTGCAACTACAGCAACAACAATCTTAAAATATGTTGTTATATGTGACACTGATATATCAAATGTGATAATGGTTACCCATGGTGCATAGTTTGGTGGAGCTCCTAGATTAAAACTGGCTTGAAAGCAGGAGTGGCATCCACTTCCAAAATAGCTTGCCTCCAGAAACTCTATGAACTTAGAGAAACAATGAAAGTTACACAAGTGTTTAGGTCTTTTGTTCACAGGGTCACTATGAGTTGTCTACGACTCCACAACACTTAAAAGCGATTTTCCCCCCCTGAAAAAAACAGCCATACTGATTGTATAGAGGCTGGTGATTGTAGGTTTTACTCATCCTTCAGGTCTAGAGTTGAATTCACTGCTGTAACTCAATTTTCAGACATACAGTAGGGAAACAAGGTAAGAGAAACAAAACATTAGGGATTAATGTCTAAAACATTAATCACTCAAGATAAAAATGGCAAGATTAGCCCAAGGGTAAAGTTCAAAGTGTGGGAAAGCTTAGAAATAAAAGAAGAACAAAAAGGAGAAACAAAGAGGAAATAGGAGTTCGTGTTACAGTGTATGGATTACAGTCAATGTCATGAAATGAAATATGTATACATTATTGAATGGAAAACAGATTTTCTCTGTAAATATGCACTCAATTCACAATAAAAAGTGAAAAGAAAAGAAAAGAAAAAGAGAGCTTTTCCTCAATATTATCTCATGGCAGTCTCTCCTGGACCTGTCTCTAGTGGCAGAAAATGATCTTTTAGGAATCAGAACTCCAGGTCCTCAGGACTGAACTCTGGAGACCAGTTGACCAATTGCGTAGACCAGTTGAAGCCAGACCTCAGCAAGGCTTGTTGTGTTGTTATGTGCCAACCAGTTGACTATAACTCATCCATTAAGCAATGGATCCGAACCCTACTCTATCCTGTGCCATCATCATCACTGATATATTTGAGCCTATTATTACAGTGACTGTGTCAATCCATCTAGATGAGAGTCTTCCTCTCTTTATGCTGACCCACCTTCCCAAGCATGATGTCCTTTTCTAAGGACAGGTCCCTTCTAACAATCTGTCATAATCATGTGAGATGAAGCTTCACCATCTTTGCCTCCTAGGCGCACAAGGTTGCACTTTCTCTAAGACATATTTGCTTGTTCATGTGATTGTCCATGGAATATTCAGGATTCTTCTCCAACACCACAACTTAAAGGTACTGATTCTTCTGTCATCCTTAGTCGTCCAACTTTCAGATGCAGAGTAGGTAATTGAAAAGACCTTGTCTGATCCATGGCTTGGATCAGATGCACATTAATTAGTCTTTAAACTGACATTGTTGCTCTTTAATATTTTGGAGAGGTCCTTGACAGCAGATTTTCTCAGTGCAACACTTCTTTCGGTTTTTTGATGCTGGCACTAAGAGTTTTTGGATGTGAATCCAAGCAAGATGCAATCATTGAAAACTTCTCCTTTCTGTATCTATTGTGATGTTGTCTATTGGCCCAGTGTGAGAATTTTTGTTTTTTTGGTGCTGAGATGTAATTCATAATGAAGGCTTGCTCTTCTGAAGCAAACATTTCAAGTCCTCACTTTCAGCAAGGTTGTGTCATCTGCATAATTGCAGGTCATTGATGAATCTTCCTCTGATCCTGATGCCACATTTTCTGCATAAGGTACAGCTTCTCAAATTATTTGATCATTCATTATGTAATAATGAATGAATTTTTTTTAAATCAACTGGAGGGTTAGGAAGGAAAATGTGCAATGATGAATGCATGAAAATTCAACTTTTCCATAAACTTTTGTTAAAGTCACAACAAAAAAAAGTTATTTGATCAGCATACAGATTGAATAGATAGAATGGATACATCCCCAGCACAGTGCCTTTCTTGATTTTAAACCTTGCAGTGTTTCCTTGCACTGCAAAGATATGACCTTGTAATGTAAAGCTGCAGGGCCAGATTCATGGTGGGGATGGTTTACAAAACTGAACTTTTGATTCATTTTTGGTCCAGCAAACACCCTTAAATACTTCCACACTCATGTCTAACTCTTTGAAATGTGCCTGCAGTTTCCCTGTTTCCTTTATTTGGTTTACTGGAGGAGAATGAAAACAGATTTATTATTATTATTATCTACAACTTAGCTGCATTTCCCCAAATTTGGTCTTAAACCTTCACTTGGTATGGGGAATACAAACTTTTGCTGAGTTTAGAGTTTGCAGTTGGCCTTCTGAATCTGCTCGCAGAAGATCTATGTATTTGCACTGCTCCAGCAAAGTCCATTTCACCCCTTAGGGAATAAGGAGAGAAAATTATCATATCTGAAATAGTCAGCACTATGACCTCCTACAGGCAGGAGCTGTAGTTGTCATTGAGTCACCTGTGACTCATAGCAACCATATGAACAAAAGTTCTGAACCCTGTACAGCAGCTCTGAAGCCTCCTTGGTCCTAAGCTAGTCTCACTGACTCCGACACACCTACCTCTATTGCCCTCGTCACTGTATCCATCCATCTCATCCAGGGTCTTTCTCCCATGTGCTGTCTGTCCACCCTTCCAAGCATGATGTCCTTCTCCAAGGATCAGTCCCTCCTGGCCACATACCCAAAGTATATCAGATGGAGCTTCAAAGTCCTAGCCTCCAAGGAGAAACTTGGTTTCACTCTAAGACAGACCTGTGTGTTTTCTTGGCATTCCACAGTGTGTTCAAGACTCTTCTCCAGCACCACAACTGAAAGGCATCAATTCTTCTTCAGTCATTCTTAGTCATCATTCAGCTCTCTGATGCATAGCAAGTAATTGTAAAGTCAGTGAGCTGGACTAGTACACCTTGGTCTCTAGACTGACATCATTGCTGAGTTGGTGCATAGTATTGAAACCCCCATGGATAGCCAAAAGAACAAACAAATCTGTCTTGGAAAAAGTACAACCAGAGTGCTCCTTAGAGGCAAGGATGATGAAATTTCATCCCACACATTTTACACATGTTGTCAGGAGGGGCCAATTCTTGGACATTGTGCTAGAAAAGTTCAAAGCAAGGAAGACTTACAAGGAGATGCATTGATTGACAATGAGCTTGAGGAGGATTGAGGTTGCGAGGATGGTGCAGAATAGGGCAAGGTTCAGATCTACATAAAGTTCCTATGAATTGTAGTAGACTGGACCACCCCTAACAATTTGCCAGGCAGCAAAGTGTAGAGCTTTTGTTGATTTTTGTAAAATCTGATAGATCACCAACAAATGTGATTTTCAGTATGCCTTTTCCCCCCTTTGTGATATTAAATCACTGAGCTGTGTATTCACCTGTATATCAGAAAAGGACATAGCACAGTCCTTGTCTT